CAAGTTGTCATTGTGCTTCTTTTTATGTCTATAAAGATAGTGTGTCATCTTGAAAAATGTTTAACTTTTGGATAATTTAAAAACCAATAGATCAGTAAGCATTCATACTGTTTTTGAGCGGCTTGTAATTGTACTTGCCCCACTGTGCGCCTGGGTAGACATTAGGTAAGTGGGGATTTCAATTACATGCAACGACGCTTCAATTGCCTGGGCGTCGCATAAAAACACTTTGTTGCCGCTGGCAAACAGTGGCACGCAGCGAGTCGGTTGTGTAGATGGGCTGATGCTCGTTTAATCTTAGATTTTAATTGCATGGCTATAGCGTTCGTCCCGAAGACAAGGCGCTTTTGAGTTGAAGGCACGGTCGAAACAGTTGCAAGTAAATAGAATTTAATTACAACATGTTTTGCTTTTCATTTTGATTGTTGAATTTATTTTAATACGTCATAAATTTCGGGAACGCAATAAAATTTTCATGGCTGGTAAATGCAAAAGCCTGACTAAGCTATAGCACATTTTTTGGCCTCTTTTATAGAGAAAAAACTTTCTGTTCGAACTAATTAGTGTGAGTGGACCATTAAAAAGTTGATCCTTCAGTAATGCCGCGAAAGAAGGTTCGAAGGGAACGGGGCGGACCGTGCTCTCGCGGCTTAAAGTTTGCACCAAAAAAGTGCTGCACAAAGAAATTAAAATTGAAATATAAAACTTGCCAAAGTTTTTACTCACACACGATGCTGATGCTGATGGAAGCAGGCTATAGAAAATTTAAAATGCAAAGCGGGGCTCGCAAAAAAAAAATGAAACTGAATTTCAAGTTGGACCACGCCAGGTGGGCGAATGCATCAAACTTGGCCGCAAAAAACTTGCAGCATTAAGTGCACTTGCCAACGAGGCCAGGCGAGGGCAAGGTGTTGCACAGTGGGGAAGGCAGCGGGGCGGGCTTGGCACCAACTGCTGCCAGCTCATTAAAAGTAAAAATGATATGCATTAAGTTTCGCAACAGTAACGAGAACGTTAAAGGTCTGGAACTGCAGTCATTAGACCAAACTTACGCTGCTCTGCTAATGGTCAATGCTAATTGCGTGGAATTCATTTGCATGGCCAGCCACACCTGCGCCTTAAATTTAACTGCGACCCCTGACCCACTGTCACATTTGCCACATAAATTGTCATAATTGTGTGCCACGTACTTGCAACAGCGCCCAATCTCTCGGCCTGACTCTACACAGCATCCCTAAAGTATCAATACATATTTCATCGGCTGACACATGCATTAACGTGTCTAATCGCCAGGCATGCGCCGGACAATGAAAGCTGTATGTGTGTGTGTGTGTGTGGGGGGTGGGAGGTTACGGACTACGGGCATTCGGCGTTACAGTATAATTTATGTCCTCGCATAGCCGAATGCCAGACATTCCGAACATTTCTCAGCTCAGCTGACAATTTTCTGTCACAAGCATGCGAATTTTCCACTCGCATATTCTGTCTCCCGCTGGCTGAGAGCTGTTTTAACTTTTATGCTATTGACTAACCGACAAAATTCTCTGTTCAAGCAGCGTTCCTCACAAAATCTGCTGTCAAATTGTTGTCAACATTTTACCGTGCACAACATGGCGTATGCGTCATGTGCATGTTTTTCATAAAATATCAAGTAACTCAATAAATTTCTAGACCACACAACGCCCCATCCAGATGTGGGTACGCTTGGCCCATGTTTTGAGCCCATAAATCAACTGATAAACTGATAATGGGACTCTGAATGAACACACCATAATTACCCTATGACTCATCAAAAATTGATTTTCCTGCGTCGAGCGAGTCATAAACATTTGTCAGTTCGCATTATTCAACAATTCTCGTAGGCATTACTCAAATTTTCTTAAGCCGAAATTATTGGGTGTTTGCAAGAAATGAAACCAATATAATATTTCAATTGCTTCAGTTAGCTTTTCGATAGTTTAATGGCATATACATCATATACATTCTTTGAATATATATGTATATTTATCAATAATTAATAAATAATAAATAACGCATATTCATTGAAGTCACACATCGGCAACAGCTGCAATGAGCTTGGTGTAGACCTTAATGCCATGCAGATAGGTATCCGCACGTATGTATTCATCGTGATCGTGCAGCAAAATGGGCGTATTGTTCATGGGCGAGAAGCCCAAGGCCGGAATGCCGACAGAGCGCAGGAAACGGCTGTCGGTGTTTCCAGGGCAGACATGTGTGCGGAATTTAAGGTTCCTGTTGCCAAGAAGGAAAGTTAAGCAAGATTTACATTACAAGCATGAGCGTACTTACAGTTCATTCAATGCCTTCTCAAATGCGGTCCAGTACGGATTTGAGGCATCGACCTTCGTCGGCGGTATATATTCGTCTTTCTGTTCGAACACGATCTCAATGCCACCACCAGCCTCCTCGCACCAGTCGCGTATTTGCTGCTCAAAGGCAACTAGATCCACATCGATGCCAATGCGTAAGTCGAAGACCACCTCGAGCATGGCAGGAACCACATTTCTTTGCACGCCACCAGTCAATTGGGTGAGATTCACAGTGGTCACATCACCAAAGAAAAGCCTCGTATTATCTTTTAACTGCTGCACCTGGGATGCACGGAATCCCATCATCTTGTTCACAATATAGTTGAGCTTCTCGCCGGCGGTGTTGGGTAACAATAGGGAACCATGACCAGCAGTTCCGCTGATCTTGAATCTAATATCTGTAAAAAGAAGTTTTTAATACCCTACAGGCTGTTGCTTTGTAAATATTTACGCCAGCCGGTACGCTCTGCAAAATAGACATAATAGGAATCGTCTAGGCTGGAGGATCCCTCGTCCAGGCTTAAGCCCACATTAAGGGATTTGAAGTAATCTCCCTTTATAAATTCACGCATTCCAAAAAAGCCGCCGGCCTCCTCATCGGGCACAAAGGTCAAATAGACAGTTCGCTTCGGTTGATAGCCAGTAGCCTTGAGTGCCCGAATGGCAGCCAGGTATTGAGCTCCCACGCACTTCATGTCCTGCGAGCCACGCGCATAGATGCGACCTTCGTCATCCAGATCGGCGGTGAAAGGATCGTGGGTCCACTTTTCCGGAAATACGGGCACAACATCGGTGTGAGAGTTCAGAATGATGCCTGGTAATTCGGGCTGTTTGCCCAGCCATTTCATTATCACGACAGGATTGGCTTCGTTGACGGGATATTCAACATCTACAGGCAGATCCAGGCTGGCTGCCTGACGTTTTAGGAACTCCACGCAAGCGGCTATAAGACGCGTATATTAGGTTAATCTCATTTTAAACACTTTAATGATGCGTTTCCTTTCATAAAACGGCTTATCACGATCCGCCCAATCTGGCAAACTTACTGTAATCTATATTTGGGTGAACCGTTGGTATGCGCAGATATTCACGGAAGATTTTAATTTCTTCATTATTTTCCCACTCGGCTTTGCTCATTTTGTTTGGATTTGTGTAATTATAAACAATTATTTATTTAAACAAAATACGATTCTCAAAATACACTTCTGCTCGATGATGTGGCAGCTGCCTTCAGATGCTCCCAGCAAAAAATAAGAGCTCTGAACTGTTTCAACGGTGGCGAACGACTATTTGGCAGTATTATCGGCCCATCGCTTAAATATGAAATGGCGCCATTCACGACGAAGCTTTTTCATTAACAATGTGTCTACTTTTATCATATTTATAACTAAGCCACCAATTCTTATCAATTTAATGTGGAATTTTCGAATGACCTTTGCCCGAAACTTTTGGCTAATTAAGCTTGTCGACAAATTCGGTAAACATCAAGTCTCTATCATATTTTCTAATAATTGGAAGTTTCATTGAGCTGTCTGAGAAACCCAGCTATGGTCCTACATTCTTTGAGAATATAGATTTTTTTGAAATAGATTTGGAAAACTTCTAGATATAGTTCTTTAATGGCTTTCGTTTGTCTTTCTTGTGGTTCATAAAACATAAATTTATTTTTATTTTGCATGCTTTCAATAAAAATGTTCAATTCATCAATTCATTTAAGGCACAAGGCTTCATTGCGATTAACTTACTTTAACAACTTTTTTTTTTAAAAACTTTTAAAGAAGACTTTCAAGCTTATAATTTCGGCAAAAAACTTTTCTGTAGAAAATTCATTAAAGATGTGAGTAAGAATAAAATAATAAAGTTCTTGGTGAGAATGCTTAAAATTTTTATTCGATCGCCTTTAAACTAAATATAAAAATACTGTGTAAAATACGAATAGACTTTATTAGAGAGTTTTCTTATATTGATTATGCCTTATATACTGGCAATAGCTGGAATGATTTTCTTGTAAGCCTCAATACCATGCAGATAGAGATCAGCACGTGTGTGAGCTCAATGATGGAAAAGTTTTTCATTGGCGAAAATCCTAATGCCTCAACTCCAACTGTTCGCAAGAAGCGGCTGTCTGTGGCACCAGGGCAGACACGTGGTCGGAACTTCAAGTTTCTGTCGGATTAGATTAAATTATCAGCGACACGATTTATAAACCGAGCATGAGCATGTTAACAATTCATTCAAGGCCTGTTGAAAAGCTGTCCAGAAAGGATTTGATGCATCAACCTTCGTGGCCGGTACATATTCATCCTTCCGTATAAAGTCGAGCAAAATACCGCCACCAGCCTCCTCGCACCAGTCAAGAATTTGTTTCTCAAAAGCTACAATATCCACATCGATAGCAACGCGCATATCGAAGACCGCTTCCAGCAGAGGAGGCACCACATTGCTTTGTACACCACCACTCAACTGGGTGAGATTCACGGCGGTCACAACACCGATGAAAGGATCCGCATCATCCTGCAGCTTCTTTACCTGCGTAGCCCGGAACCCCATCAACTTGTTCACAATACAATTGAGCTTCTCGCTGGCGGTGTTGGGTAGCAGCAGGGAGCCATGGCCTGCACTGCCGCTTATCTTAAATCTAATCTCTGTAATTATATTGTAGGTCATAAACCTGTTGATCACCAGATTAGCTTTACTTACGCCAGGGGGTCCGCTCCGCATAGTATATGTGATAGGAGTCGTCTATGTTGGCAGAGCCCTCATCTAAGCTGAAGCCCACATTTAAGTTTTTGAAGTAATCTCCGTTCACAAACTCGCGCATGCCCAGATGTCCGCCAACCTCCTCATCGGGCACAAAGGTCACATAGATATTTCGCTTTGGCTTGTAGCCGCTAGCCTTAAGTGCGCGAATGGCACCCAAGTACTGAGTCCCAATGTACTTTGTGTCCTGAGCGCCACGAGCGTAAATACGACCTTCGTCATCGAGATCGGCGCCGAAGGGTGGGTGTGTCCACTTCTCGAGGTACACAGGCACTACATCCATATGATTTTAACTGTTTTAGGATCCCTCTTCTCTTACAAGCTCGCTAGTGTCTATGTTTGGGTACACAGAGGGAAGATTTTGATTGCCTCATTTTGAGTTCTGTGTATGTGTCTGAAACTGAAGTCTCAGGAGATAGCACCTTGTTAGTGCTGATAGCGTATGGCTATGACTGCTGGCTGGTCATGATTGGGCACCCATTCCCAATACCGTCCTGCCCGGATGCCGACATCGAAATTGTACGCGTACATTTGTTGCCAATGGGCTGATTTTATTTTTATTTTTTTTTATCAGATTTATGACTCTCGGTGTTTGTTTGTATAAATTTGACTGATATGATTCTTATCTGCTTGATTAATTTGGTTGCAAATGAGCCCATTATCAGATTTGTTTTTCTGTGCAATCTTGGTTATAACACATACATTAACACTGGGTCATATATAGTGTATAAGTTTCAATGAATCGAAGGCAAGGCATTTGTTATTCTCTCATAAACTCATGTAAGAAATTCCATACAAAGTACGCTTGTTCTTCGAACTACATTTTTAAATGTCTTAAAATCTACGTTTGAACATGTAAACGAATGAAATGTTAAGATAAAATAAATTTCTTTAATTACGTCTTTGTTTACCCATCGAAAAATTGAAAGATTTGTTATTAATAAAAAACGTTCAAATTGAGTTCGCGAATATAGAATACAAAGTTGTTGTTTTTTTTTTTTTTTATCAGACTTCAAATATGTTTTGTTTTCTTTTTATCAGCATGTTTGTTGATGTTTTCTTTTTAAAAAAGCTAGTTATCTTTCGGGTTTATGGGTATCAAGCCACAGGCTTGTTAAGTATTTTTTAAAAATATATCATAATACGATGCTAAACAAAATGTCCCTTCTATTTTATGTAGAGATCAGCACATGCTAAAAAATTATTCCTCGTACGAAGCTTGAAGATAAGTTTAATCTAATATTTCCGACACATTTTGATGTTGATAATTCATAATAATTTGAAAAGCAATATAGATTAACATATATTCACCAATGAGCCTGAGGAAAAGGCTGCATTATGAAATGTATGTATTAATTGGCAAATTAATTTCAATTGAAAAAAAAAATTGATTGGTTCTTTATATTATATTCAAGAATTTCACATATGCTGATGTATTAATATTTTATTTTATTTTTTATAAAATTGTGGAAATTCTTTTGATTTCTGTACTTACTGTAATCTGCGTTGGGGAGTACCGATGGAATGCGCAAATATGTACGGAAAATTTTAATTTCTTCATCGTTTTCCCATTGAGATTTATTCATTTTCAAATTGTTGTATACCTTTCAACACAATTTGTTCATTTAATATATTACGTTCGCGCCCGTTCAGGGTTCGTCTGTGTATGTGAATACATTCAGATTCACATTCCTTTTAAATAGCTGAAGATATTTTATATTATTATCATATTTTATATACCCTATGCCCATTGCAAAGAGTGTGCAGATGTTTGTAACCGGCAGAAGGTGGCATTGTCTTTTTCATAAAATGTATATGAATATCCACGATGACCAACAACAGTCGAGTCGACCTTGCCATATCTGTTTGTTGGTCCGTCTGTCTTTATATGATATCATGCAACTGGGCAGAGTATTTCATATGCGGACAGAGCACTTTGAATTGCATTTATCAAGACTAGATACTCGCGGCTATCTTTCGGCTTTATGGTTATGGCTGTGGCTTGAAATGTCTGTGGTCAGTAAAACTTTATATAACGCTAGATATAGATCTAGATTTATGCAAATATCTGAACAGGCACGTGTCCAAATATAAGACTATAATATACGTTTGGTGGTGATAAGATTAATCCACATCTAAAAATATAAAAGAATATATATGTAAATGCTTGCACCAAATTTGATACATTTTTTTAAGTACTTGAATTCGAAAGAAAGACTCGGCTCTTCTGCTGCCACAACCATTAAAGATACTCAATTTGGAAAAAATTAAGTTCGGCAGGGTACAAGAGCCGACACTCCTGCTAATCTTAAATCAGTTGAATTATTCGTGTTCATATAAATACTTGTGGGTCACCAAAATTGCTCATTTTGAGTTCCAAAGAACGTTTGTTTAGTCATTTTATCGAATGTTTCGAATGCTTCAACAAATATCACCTTCTGCCCATTATCAGCAGCATGTCTACGTCTGGGGGCTTGGTGTAAGCTCCGACGCCAACATCGATAGCAAAGTTCATATAACTATATATGTGTAACTGTGTGTGTGTGTGTTTTTTATCACCATTTTAGCTACCTGTGTTTGTAATCGTAAATTTGTCTGATATGTTGCTTATCAGTGTATTTAATGTGCTTGCTAATTAAGCCATTATCAAACGTTTAATCAATACATCATTTCAAACTGTGCACAGACACTGCTTCAACTACGTTAATTACTGAAGTGGGGATCAATCAAGTATAATGTATATAAATCAAAATTAATTAAGTCGAATGAGGGCCCACTTGTTATACATTTGCTACAGCTGCAATAACTTTCTTGTAGATTTCAATTCCACGCAGATAGGTATCTGCACGCAAATATTCATTGTGATCGTGCAGCAAGATGGGCGTATTGTTAATAGGCGAGAAGCCCAAGGCCGGAATGCCAAAAGATCGCAGGAATCGGCTGTCCGTGGCACCTGGGAAAACGCGTTGACGGGTTGTCACGCCGCTGAAAAGGTTTTATCGTATTACAACGTCGAGACTGAAGGAAATGAATGTCTTGTTACATACAGTTCGTCCAGGGCTTTCTTAAAGGCCAACCAATATGGATTTGATGCATCGATTCTGGTTGGAGCTACATACGGTTCTTTCCACTCGAACACTAACTCAATACCATCTCCTGCTTCTGTGCACCAATCGCGAATTCGCTTCTCGAGCGCATCCAAATCTTCTGTTATGGCAACTCGAATATCAAATACCGCTTCCAGTAAAGGAGGCACCACATTGCTTTGGACCCCTCCGTGCAGTTGGGTTAGGTTAACGGTAGTAACATCTCCAATGTCCATATTCGAGTCTTCTTCGAGTCGCTTCACTTGTGACTCACGGAATTCCATTAATTTATTCAAAACATAATTGAGCTTCTGGCCAGCGGTGTTGCGTAGGAGTAGAGAACCGTGTCCAGCAGTTCCACTGATCTTAAGCCTTAAGTCTGAAGGAACCTTGTTCGTATATAATCCTATGTAAGCTGCCAGCTACTTACGCCATACAGTTCGCTCGGCATAGAACACGTCGTAGGTTTCATCTTCGCTGGAAATGCCCTCGTCAAAGCTGAATCCTACGTTTAGTTTCCTGAAGTAATCACTCTTAATTAGATTGGCCATTCCCTGTGTAACGCCACCCTCCTCATCCGGCACAAAGGTGAGAATTACTGTTCTCTTTGGCTGGTGGCCGTTAGCTTTTAGAGAGCGTATCGCCCCCAGATATTGAGTTGCAACACTCTTCATGTCCTGAGAGCCTCGACCAAAAATGCGGCCTTCATCATCCAGATCGGCATTGAAAGGTTCGTGTGTCCACTTGTCCGGGAATACCGGAACAACGTCCATGTGTGAATTTAACACAATGGAAGGTAGCTCCGGCTGTTTGCCTAGCCACTTTATAACAACGACAGGATTCAATCCGGCTAAGACAACATCTACTGGTAGCTCCAGATCAGCTGCCTGACGTTTCAAGAATTCCACACAAGCAGCTGTATAGCTCAGAAGCAAACGGTTTTCATTAAAGTTCTGAATATTCCCACGGGCTCTTCAACTTACTGTAATCTACATTTGGGTGTACCGATGGAATACGTAAATATTCGCGGAATATTTTAATTTCTTCATTGTTTTCCCACTGAGATTTATTCATTTTGGACTAAGAGTATAGTTGTTCAAAGCCTTCCAAGGTTGATGTACGTTTGCCTAAAAAATGTATTTCGGTCTTCCTTAAATACCCAGACCCTTTGTTAAATGGCGGCCTAGTCCCCAAAAATGTGGTTAACTTGTTATCATCAGTTATGTTGTGGTTATTTATCAAAACGATAGTTTGGGTCATTCCTGTAGCTACAATTACTAACGTATTAGACCTTCTAGGAGAACATATATACCGCCAAAGCTACTTATATATATATTTATAAATATACACTTCCACACTTAAAACCCAAAATCATACGTAGTTATATACAAGCATTAATTAGGAAAACTAGTTCAAATCCTATGCAACAATTTTTTCAATCTATTTCGAAATGTCTTTTCACATATCTGTAAAGCCGTAAACTCTCGTACACAATGCGAATAAAATCATCGCCGTGAGAAGATGTTTTTTATTTTTGTTTTAATATAAACAAATAAAAATTCCATTCGTTTTTATAGGCTAAAAATAGTCAAAGTTTGTCTATAAATAGACTTCCGTGCTGTCGCAGTCAATTTATTTATATATATTAAATTGGTTTTTTAATTTATTCGAATTTTACATATGTGCAATTTAATTCGTAGCATGGCTATATATTATAGATTATATTACTTTTAACAATATAAAAAATATTAGAATTTAAAATGTAAGTAAGGTGATTACTATTTTTACAAAGTTTTTATTCCAGTTGTTTATTTGAAACTCAAGTAGTAAAGCTGGATTATTTGTGCGAAGAATATTACCCAGAATCATAATTATTATTTTTACGTGCTCGTTTGTTTGTTAGGAATTAAGAATATATATTACGGCAATTCAGGGCAGGCACAAAGTTTTATTTAACATGATTAAATACCAACTATTAATATCAAAAACTAAGATAACAGTACAGAGTTATCGTTTTGATATGCACATGTACGAATTAAATGCAAATTCATGGCAATTTCATTTATTAGGCAAGATAGGCAGAAAAACACATATAGTACATATGTGAACATTTCTGTGGATCTAAAAACATGAATTTAATATTTGTGAAATTTATATTATTGGCAGCCAAATAGAAAACGCGCGAAAACCCGTATTTCGTTTAAACATTGGCAACAGCAGATATTAACTTTTTGTAAACCTCGATGCCATTCAGATAGGTATCTGCGCGCAGAAATTCATCATGATCATGCAACAGTAAAGGAGTCTTATTGATTGGCGAAAATCCCAAAGCCGGAATGCCTGCATGCCGGACGTATCGGCTATCGGTGGCGCCAGGGAACACGCGGTATCGTGTTTTTAGACCTCTGTAAGAGCACAATAAAACTTACAATCATAATTCGTCAAACCCAATAATACATACATTTCGTCTAATGCTTTCTTAAAAGCCACCCAATATATATTCGATTCATCTGTCTTGGTCGGCTCTACATATGGGTTTTTCATCTCGAAATCAAGTTCAATGCCGCCGCCAGCCTCTGCGCACCATTCGCGAATTTGCTTCTCGAAGGCATCTACATCGACTGTTATAGCGATTCGAATATCAAAGACAACCTCTAGCAAAGGTGGTACTACATTGCTTTGCACTCCTCCACGTAATTGTGTCAGGTTAACGGTGGTTACATCACCAATGTCAATGTTGGAGTCTTCTTTAAGTCGTTTCACCTGTGATTCACGGAACTCCATCATTTTATTCACAATATAATGGAGCTTCTCGCCAGCTGTGTTGGGTAACAACAGGGAACCGTGACCCGCAGTTCCACTGATCTTAAGCTTTAGATCTGAAATAACATTCATGGTGATATTTGCTTTATGGAAAGTTGTGTCTGACTTACGCCACAATGTTCTTTCGGCATAGTAAACGGCGTAGGTTTCATCCTCACTGGAAATACCCTCGTCAAAACTGAATCCGACGTTTAGTTTCTTGAAGTAATCACTCTTCACCAGCTCGCGCATGCCTAGATGACCCCCAACCTCTTCATCAGGCACGTAGGTAAGGTAAACAGTACGCTTTGGCTGGAAGCCGCTGGCTTTGAGGGCGCGAATGGCACCCAGATATTGAGTTCCAACGCACTTCATGTCCTGCGAGCCACGCGCATAAATGCGACCTTCGTCATCTAGATCGGCGCTGAAAGGACCGTGGGTCCACTTGTCAGCAAAAACGGGCACAACATCGGTGTGCGAGTTCAGAATAATGGAAGGTAATTCAGGCTCCTTGCCTAGCCATTTCATTACCACGACGGGATTGGATTCGTTAACGGGATAAAGAACATCCACCGGCAGTCCCAAGCTGTCTGCCTGACGTTTCAAGAATTCTACACAAGCGGCTGTAAAACGCAGACATTTAATCTTTATAACATGTGTAAAATTGCTTATCTTATTGCACTTTTTGTAGTTTTTACGATATTTACTATCTCAGAAAACTTACTGTAATCCACATTTGGATGCACTGTTGGAATACGCAGGTATTCGCGGAAAATTTTAATTTCCTCATTGTTTTCCCACTCGGACTTGCTCATTTCAAACAGAATCTGCGTATATTAAACGAGGTATATATTTTTAATGGAATGTGAAACTTAATGTATATAAATTTTTAATGGAATGTGCGAATTTTGATATTTGCCAATCAGCTGACTGTTGTGGCGGGATCAGCTGTTCACAGCCTCAAAATACCTTCTCAACACTGGCAGCGATCGTCGACGACTGCGGTCGTTCGGGCGCGCAACTGTTTAAATACGCCAGCAAAATCCAAATGCCAGACGATATTATCTCGTTTCTGAGGTTTTCGCAGCTTATCAGCTTTAAATTCAGGAATATTGCCATTAACTTTATTGTTTGTTTATTTATAGTTTGGTCGCGGTTTATCAGAAACGTTTGTTTACAATTCGCCTGCTAATCTATGCATAGAGTATAATAACTGACCTCTTTTGGCTCTTAACAGCGTATAAATACGAGTGCCTACGGGAAATATTGGCGCACTCGCTGCAGTTCACTGTAGATGTGCATGTTGTGTTGGTTTCTCGATTTGCCTGTGGCACTAGCATTGGCTTAGTGTTAAATTTATATTGTACGAGTACATTCCACTTGAATTCCTAATCTGCAGGCGTTGCACACACAAACACGCACACACATACATACATACATGCATACATACATACACTTATGCATATCCGGACATGAGCATCTAGTCCGAACGTGTGGCATGTAAACAAGTAGTTGTAGTTGTTGTTGCTGCTGCTGCTGCTGCTGTTGATGCAGATGCTGATACGAGTAATGTTGATGTTGTTGCCGTGCTTAGCAACTGCCAACCCAACCCACCCCCGAACCCCAACTAGGCGTGGCAGCTGCCAACTGTCGGTGCATTCGTGTGTGTTTGTTTTCGGTTTGTTTGGTTATGTATGTGTGCGTCAGATTTCACGCTTATTTCAATGGGCGCAAATTGCTGTACACAAAAGTTGCACGAAGCAAAACTGAAACGTCGAGATTCGTACAGCTCGTAGACATCAGTTGTGCTTTGTTTGTGTATGTTATCTTCTGGGCATAAACATACACATGTACATATGTTTGTGCCATCAGAAAAAGTCATTAAAAGTTCATTAACAATGTTGCAAGGATTTTAATGGCAGACACTGCGCCACCAACTACAGCGACTACTGTGTCAGCCACACATGTCTACATTTCAAATGACAATAAGACACAAACACACACACACACACAAAGATAAGTCAAACATGTATAACAATACAAAGTCATGCATACGCGACATTGTACGTATATGTACGTATACATATATTTGTATGCATGAGTATGTGTATTTCATTAAAATGTCTGTAATTGTTGTGGGTGTGTTTGCTTGTCGCGGCGCAAATAAACTATATCATTGTATTTTTAACAATTATCCAGTCAACAGAGCATGTAGGTACATTTGCCGACGGCATTAAGAGCTATTGAAATTCGCGTTTATTTTTTGTAATTCCTAGCAACTTATCCTGTCTCTAGCTAAAATTGTTATAATCGATAGCACTTACTACGCATTGTTCCACATCTGTGGCAGACGTTTCAGTCTTTACATATTTCATATTTCCCACCAACAATGTGACAATACCTTCTGTACATTAAGCAAAGCCCAAGAGCATGCTCGAAGGCGCAGGTTTCCATATTAGAGCTGGGCGCGTGTCCTTTTTCCTTTACTGATGCAAGCACGCGCGAACCTTAAAGCAGAAGAACACATGCTAGTAAAAAATTAAAATCAGCTCGATTTACAATCGATATATACAGTAATATAATTTTGCAGAGGCCAATTAAAAAAGGTTGCCCTTGGTTGGTTTTCCAATACATTCAAAAGTTTCTGTTAAGGGAAATCTATAATTCGGCCATAGTCCAGAAGTCCAATTATTTATAAAAACTCAAATTGTACATTTTTTTCCGTACCTGTCTATACCTATATGAATATACTTAAGAGATTTTTCAAGGTGTTGTATAAATGAGTTGTGAGCTAGCCTTGAATATCGCCCTGATGGATATGCATATTTACATAGGTACTTACAGAAGTAAAGAAAAAAGTAAAATGCTATAAATATATTTGCCATATGGAGTTTACTTTTTAATACATATTCATATTTCAATTTGTCAATGTCAATTTGCAGAGCAACTGAGTTATGTGTGGATAAAAGTTTAAATTTATTATTTGAATTTAAAAGGCCTTGATATGTTAAGTTAAATTTAGCTAAGATCGAAAAATTGCAAAAATTTTAAGAAAACTCTGACTACCTTCAGTATTTAAGGCTATGATTTAGCCCAGCAGGGGATCCTAATTTGCTGTTTGGCCCGAATTTAAAGAATATGTCCTTTAAGCTAATAACATCGTTATTTTAAGTAGCCTAAGTCAAGTTCAAGCAGATAATATGAAAGTTTAGCAACTGCTACTGTCTAAACTCTGATACTAAATTGATAAAATAGCATTTTTTAGTTATATCATAATTAGTTTCTCCCGAAATTATTTAAAAGTCTCTAACTCACTTATAC